CTTGCTTTGCTCTGCTCACTTCATTTTGCTGCTYGTCCCCCAGGTACCCCCAGGAACCTTTCCACATTTGGAGGTGTCCCCATCCTAATTTAGTTCGAGACAAAAAGCACAGAAAGGGAGGGTTGTGCCCAACAAGGCCCGAACCCAGATCTGGCATGATCAGCCCATATTCCCAGCAGCAGGGTGGGTTTAATTGGCAGGAGTGTAGGGAAGTCTCAATTGCAGATTTTGTGTTATTGACTGAAGTTGGAAATGCCCAGAATGTCTTCCTGATGGGGATTTCTCTTTCTCAAGCTTAAACATGTAAATCACAAAGGTTACTTTTGTTCTGTCCCTTTCTGCAAGAGGATCTAATAGTATGAGTTGTTTATTCCTTATTTGAATTTTGTTTTATTTTCAAGCTGTTGTGTGATGGCAACATGACAGGAGATTCCCACTTGCCCACAAAACTTTGCTGATGAGGCTTCCCATCCTTTCCAGCTCCAAATGTTTTTTTTTTTCCAGTGCAGGTGGTCCCAGCATGCAAGGAAATGTCTGGATATGTTCCTTGTACCTTTGTGGCTGTCTGAGCCACAGCACACACCCTGGAGAGAACAATTTTATTTTAAAACAGTCCTTTTAAGCATTCATGACAGCCACTTTTGATAATGTTCTGAATGAGAGAAGACATTTCAGGCACTCTGTCTACAGGAAGGAAGCAATTATTTTATTAGCACTTTGAGAAATTAAATTACGTGAATTATGGCAGAATAAGTTTAGCAAAACGCTATAATGTAAGAAAACAATTAAAAAGAGTTATATAAGGTTGGGTGGCTTCTTTATTCTGATAGAGTGKGCAGTTAATTGATTGTCACATTGCTATAATGTACCAGGACAGTTGTGAGAGCAAATAGRGAGAAAAAAAAAGTGCAGAGAAAARGCCACATCTTCCAGGGAAAAGGGAATGAGCAGCAGGCTGTCACCCTCAAAAATTCCTTTTCTCTTTATCCTGTGAAAGGGACATGAAGAGAATGAGAGGGAATTTCTCTGTGCTTCAGCTTCCACAGCCTGATGCTGCAGGATCCTATTTCCTCATGATGCAGAAAGCAGAAGGGATTCAGAATTGGATTCCAGGAATGAATTGTTCATTCAGCAGAGGTTTTTCCATTGGCAATGGAGCCAGGTGATTTTGTACCAGCCCTGCCACTGACCTCCTGTTCCTTTCTGAAAGTGCTCAACACTCTTGGGCTGTTAGTCAGATTGTTTTTTTTAAAGAATCTGGAAGAAAATCATCTCCTCCTCATAAGCCCATTGCACTTTGTTTAGCACAGAGAGAAGTATGAATCTTCCAGCCAGGAAAGCAGTTATATGAGAGGAAAGGAAAATAATCTGGAATTAGCTAATTATAAATCACTTGCATTATTGCTCTGAAGGAAAGTAGAAGAACCAAGGCCTTGGTTTTCTGAAGAAGCAAGATTAGGACAGGATTCCAGGAATTTGTTTGTAGTGGAAAAGTATTTCATGTTAGCTAAGAAATTATATAACTATACAGTAATAGTGTACAGAGCTGTGAATACATGAAAAATCTATAAAAAACAAAATTCTTGTGGCATCAAAAGTACCCTAATCACAATATAAACCACACTAAAAATTAACTTGGAGAGCTGATACCACATGGTGTGAAATCTGTGAGTACCAGCATGAAGAATAGGATACTGAGAAAACAGTTTGGACAACTTAGAGCAGGGAGTCTGCCTTGCTCAGGAATCAAAAGGAGCTGTACTTTTCTGTWAGRCATTTGAAGAAATGCCTGTCTCCATTACCAGTTTGTGTTTCTGTCAATTTTTCTTTCATCCAGGAAAAGAGCAGTGTGAAGCATTGAAAGTTGAGAGTATAAAAGGAGGGCCCTTCAATGTTAGATAATTTTTCTCTTTGAAAAAAAAGTCCTTTTTTAAAAAACTCTGCTCATTTTGCTTTGAAAGTGGTGATTTTCTGGCTCCATCTGTTTGCACGGTGCTGGCTGGGACACGGAGCTTCAGCTGGAGGGATTTGTGTGACTGCAGAGGTGACCAGAGGTGACACAGAAATGAGAGGAGAGAGGT